TTTCAACAGTTATCTTATTGATTAAATTATCATTTCAAGAATTATTTTAATGATTGAATAACAATTTTAGGAATTATTTCACTGAATAGATTAGTAATTTAAAGAATTTATTTTACAAAAATAAATAATCATCACCAGGAATTCTTTTACTAACTAATTAATCATTGCAGGATTTTTTTTTTTTACTGAGTAATCAAATAATCATCTTCAGGAATTCTTTTACTAAATAATTAATCATTGCAGGATTTTTTNTTTTTTTTTTTTTTTTTACTTGAATAATCAAATAATCATCTTCAGGAATTCTTTTACTAAATAAATAATTACTTCAGGAATTCATTTCATTGAATAAATGATTATTTAAGGGATACGAATCATTTCTTATTCGCTATAAACTTTAGCATTGAAAATACCCAAGAGAATAAAATTGATGGATGATTTCAATTCATCGCTTAACCTCAAAATGAAGTCAACACAGAAAATAACGCATTTTTCCTAATCTTATTTATTTCTCACATTTTAGCATTTATTTCATATCCGCTTTTTCACTACATCTTTTGTTGTTTCATTTCAAATTTCATTTCGTTTCATTTCGAATCAATTCAAATTTTCTCCAAATCTTCCTTATCTTTTTCATTTCTTCTCTCAACAAATAAAAATAATTGAAATACTTCGACAATTTTTGACAATTCCATAAAAGTTTCCTCTTTTAAATTCCTGACAATTCCGCAAAAGTTTCCTTTTTTAAATTCCTGACAATTCCGCGAAAGTATTCCCACATAAATTTTTCTTTAATTTTCATTTTTAAAAACTGACACTCTTCTTTTTTTTAATCGTTATTCATTACTTGCATGTAATATCATCACCATCATCATCATCATTATCATCATCATCTATCATTATTTTATCATTTGCATATAATATCATCATCATCATCCATCATTATTTTATCACTTGCATATAATATCATCATCATCGTCCATCATTATTTTATTACTTGTATGTAATGTCATCATCATCATCATCATCATTATCATCATCTATCATTATTTTATCACTTGCACATAGTATCATCATCATCACCATAATCATAATTATCCATGATAATTCATTAAACTTTTATCTATTCAAGAATAATTAATATAATTTATCGAATATCATTGAATCGTTGAAATAATCGTTTTGTTTTTTTTTTTCTTTTAATATGACAAATGGTTTCCTACATACTGTATGTGTTTCTTTTTTTTCCTTTTTCCTCTTTTTTTTTTTTTTCAAAAATCAATAAAATACATAAATTATAGAAATCAATAAAATAAATCAATCGAAGAAATGCCACTATTTGAGGGTTGTTGCTCATATTCATCCATTGAGCGCAAAAAATCAATCGCATATGCGCCATCTACGAAACAATTAGGTGAATAATTTTTGGTATTTTAATTTATCAATCAATAATATATGAATTAATTAAATTTCATATTGTGGAACTTTCGGACATTTGTTTAGGACTTTATTTTGTTATAATTATAAAATAAATTATTATCAAATATGCATTTAGGTGAGAAATGTGTAGAAGAAGGAGAAGAACAACAACAACAACAACAACATCAAGAACATGAACAACAAGAACAAGAACAACAAGAACAACAACAACAGGAACATGAACAACAGGAACAAGAACAAGAACAAGAACAAGAACAACAACAAGAACAACAAGAACAACAAGAACAAGAACAACAACAACAACAACAACAACAACAACAACAACAACAACAACAGCAACAACAACAACAAAAGGATATGTCAATGTCAACATCGGAGTGTATGGTAAAGACTAGTCATATTTTATTAAAATAAAACTATTCAGTAATTGATTAATTGCTTAATTGATAGATTGGTTGGTTGATTGATTGATTGATTGATTTATTAATTGATTGAATGATTGATTGATTGATTCAATTATCATTCATTTATTATCAGATAGATTTATGTGTTACAACTGTTACAATTATACCTATCATATAATGATATGAGAGTTGTTTCGATTATTTCATTTTAAGAATGAGCAATAATTGTATTCATATTTTTATTTCCAAATCGAAATTCGATGATATGATTTGTATCCTTTGTGATAAAAATAATTTATCGGAATTAATTTATTACACAAATTTTATTCCTCTCTCATACCTATTGAATGTTTTCATTTTAATTTAATTAATTTAATTTAAAATGGAAAATCTTGTAATTCATTAAAATCATTCTTGTTTAAAATGTTGTAAAAATTGTTTGAAATTATTTCAACCAAATTTTTCCAATTTCTTTATCTATTGTAAATACTACTTTTTATTATTGTGATAAGCATGGAAAAGTATTAGGGGGGAAAAATAATAAGTTAATCTCTTTCAAATCAAATCGAAGGCAAGGTAAGTAAAATATGATTTATTGATCTTTTTTTTTTAACCTAAAACTTTATCATGCATCAATCTTTATCAATCTACAACTTTATCCAATTTTTATCAATCTACAACTTTATCATACACCTAAAACTTTATCACGCACCAATCTCTATAATCTGCAACTTTATCATGCATCACTGTTTATCAATCTACAACCTTTATCATGCACCAATCTTTATCAATCCATAACTTTATCCAATTTTTATCAACCTACAACTTTATCATACACCTAAAACTTTATCACGCACCAATCTTTATAATCTGCAACTTTATCATGCACCAATCTCGATCATTCCAAAACTTATCATTACATGACGATAACATGATATGCTATTGATATCATATTGATAAATTTATATCTCCATATCTTTTATCTAATTTTTTTCCATTTTTTTTATATCCTATTTCATAAAGAGAACAAAAAGAAAAGAAAAGTGTACTGATCGTTTGCTTTCATTTTTTTTTCCATTCATATCATTATTATTCAAATATAATCAATCTTTTCCGGAAATTATTTCATACTGCTCGAAGAAGATAATAAATGGAAATTAATTTATATTATATTGATTAATATAAATACAAATGTGAATATATTTGAAATGGAAATGGAATGAATAAGATAAAAAAGAAAAGGAATTGAACATGAAAGATTTTATCATCCCAAATGTCCAATTAGGCGCTATTTTATCACATTGTATTTAAAATGATATGGGAAATTTCTCTTTTTTTTTGTTAATATTTAAATTTCATGCAAATAATAATGTCACAAACATTTTGTTACTTTTATTTGCTGTCACATAAAAAAATGCACTCTAAGAAGATGCAAAATATGCGCTCCAGGAAGATGTGAAATATGCGCTTCCAGGAAGATGTGAAATT